ATCTTATTATTTTGTATACATATTTAAACCAACCATAACATATAAATCACAATCTATCTATTCAAATTCACAACCTTTAAATTGTTATAACAACAATGAAATCAATCGAGTGCCTAATATTATTAGAATTCTAGTCTAACATAAAACTTTTAAATTTTTTTCTTATATATATGGTATTAATTCTCTCTGTGGCAAAACCCAATCAAAAGAGTTCCGTCCTAGAAAGGGCAAATTTAGGGTAAGGGCCAATGGATTCTTTTTCTATTGGTTTAGGAAATTTTCACTTGTAAGTTTCAAACCTTTTTTTTATTTAAATAAGGGGGTTTTGTATGACTTATATTGATAGGTTCATACAAAAACGACATCGGAAGGATCTTGTTAAAACCCCCAAACTTATATTAGAAGAAAAAGAGTGCATATTCAAGCAACTTAAACACCACCGTACATCACACAAGCATACTCCCGACAAACTTTGAATTGTGAATTTGTTTAACTTCCCCATATACCCAACTTTTCATCAATAACACCTTAATATTATATATAATTCAATTTTCTATTTCCTAAGATATGGCTTTGGGTGTGTATATATATAAAGTACCAAACGAGAAAAATTACGAATAAGAAAGAAGAATTTTACTACAGACTACAGTTAACAATAAAGTATAAAAGAAAAAAGCACGTATCTTCATTTTTATTCTAATTTATTTTTTCACTACCACAAATTTTTCATGCAGAACAAAACATAATTCATGTCATAAATACTATTGCCTTATTGGATGAAAACTTGATAAAAAACAAGCCACATGGGTTGGCCAACCTCAACAAAAACAGTTCAAAGTGAACAATCAAATATTGCCAAAAATAAAGGTTGGGATGGGGTTTCCAATTCAAATTCCAAGAGATCTCATTTTATTTAAATGATATAAAGAAGAAGAAGAAGAAGAAAACATTACTTAAAAGGACAGAAGTGAGTCATGGCGATGCTAACAGCTTATGATCTTCAATCTCCATCTGTAAAGGGACAGGCCGACCGATTTCAATGTTGGGGCTACATATTATATGACAGCTATGAACATATCCCATGTTTCTTCCAATGTTTTTGCTTTAATTTGTTGGTTCCCGTTACATCTATTCAATAATCAACCTCATATAAGTTTTTTAGTTTTTCGATCCGATCCGATCCGTGAATAAATTCACCTGTGATTTATATATTTGTATTGTGTTCGAAAATGGCCCTTTTCCTACCCCTCGATTTTCATTTTATATTCATTTTTTTATAATTACTATGAGGCCTTAAACTCTAAAATTTTCATCTTAAAATATATAATTTCGAATACCAAAATTATTGTAAAAGAAATCCGGATTTGAGTTCAACAGATTCATAAGATAGGGTTAAGGGCAACTTAAAGTTCCAACTTTAAATTAGGATATGTAAACTTAAGAAATAACTCGAATAAGTTCATAGCTAAACCATGGTTTCATAAATTATAGGGATCTAAAAGAAAATTTACCCATACTTTAGCTGTTCCAATCAAATGGTGGCCATATTATAACCTATATTCAAACCTAAGAAGTAAGCAAAGTTTAGAGGAGAAGTTACGTTGCAAAGGAGAAATCACTCAAGCATAGAATGGTCGGTTGATGATTACAAGTTATACGATACGATTATATGCTAAAAATATGATAAAAATAATAATTGAATTATGACAAAAAGGTATCCATAAGAAATACAAATTTGATACATATACACACAAAATACAAACACAACTTGAAAATACGAATAAGTTCGTAGCTAAACTACAATTTCAAAAATTATAGGGATTTAAATGAAAATTTGCCCATTCTTTAGTTATTCCAATCAAATGGGACCATAGTGTCACCTATCGTCAAACCTAAGAAAGTAAACAAAGTTTAGTGGAGAAGTTACATCTATGTTATATGATATGAATATAATTAAAATATGTTTTAAAAGAAGTAATATATATCAATAATAAGATTGCTAAATTTTATGATAATTCGAATTAGAAAATCTGTATGAAATGGAGATAAGATTGTTTTTTCAGTGTCTCCTAAAGATTAGAATAAGTTTGATTGATTGGATAAGCAAATGGATGACTGGATTCATAATTATCAAAAGTCATCACCACTTCTTTAGCAATGAATCAATGTTTTCTTTTCATAAACATGAAACCTTTGATAAAAAAATTTAATAACCCGGGAATATGTAAACCACTTCTTGATGTGTAATTTCTTTTATCACATGAGTCCACTTCTTTTGATTATATATTAAAGAAGCTTTACAATCATTCAAGTTTAACTTAATTTAAAATAAATAAATTTTAGAATAAACAAATAATTTTTTTCACGATTAATTAATCTATTCTGCATTGGATCAAACCAATTAATGGATACTCATAAAAAAAGAGATCAAATGAAGAAAGAGCGATGAAAATGTTTTAATTAAGATTTGAGAATAAAGAATCCTATTAATCAATTCTTTGGAATTAATTAACATTTTCTTTATTAAAAGGTTTTTAATTAAATCTAGTTTATGGAGTATGGATTATTAACGGCCTTTCTAGGCCCATAACCGAAAGGAATTGGCAAACCTAACCTTCCTTCATAAAGGAAATTTACCTCGATAAAAATACTTTTATTAATCAAACCTATGGTTATAAAGCTTCGTTATAATTTTGAAGTTCTCTTTTTTTTTTATTAATAAAATTAGATCACTTTTATTTTCATAAAAATATAAAATTTTTATTATAAGCTTGCATTTCTTATCCCATTCATTTCATAATCTTTACTCAAAGTCATTGAATCATAGCTTAGGCCTCCTCGGATGCAGTTTTCTTCTCTTCCCTTGCTGCATATTTTAAAAGTTTGAGTCATACAATAAAAGAGGGAGAAAGAGAGACATGGAGATGGTCTTCAACGAAGTGCTGTAGTGGCAGATGCATGTCCATGTTAAGGCGGACACTAATTTTTCTTATCTATTTTAATGTTTGTGTCTAATTTAAAATTTTATTTATGTCCATTTAATAAAAAAATTTGTATTTACAAGGAAGATGTACTTAATTAATGTGAGATTACTCCCTTTGAATTACCAAAGTACACTATATTAATTTGAAAAGTAAACCTAATTTAGAAGTGCTTAAAAAGTCAACTCCTTTTTTTATTGCCGAGCACCTAATTTTTAATTGTGCTGAACAATAATATTTCATCAGTTGGTTAAATTGTTCATATTTAGTCCTCATATTCATTTAGGTAATGAGTTATACATTTACTTAAACACTCCTTTTCATTCTTCTAGAGTCTCATTCCTCTCCTTTCTAGATAAAATTATGATTAGATTTAGCATTTATCTAAAAAAACTTTTGATTGCGTTGAAGATGAAGATAGATATTCAACCTTTAAATTTGATCAGATTTCTTCATTTGTAGCAGCCAGCCTTGGTTTTGTAGCTTACCATTTTAATTGCCGATCCAATGTGCTCGTTAGAGAAACGTGGCAACCTTTTCATCCTCGCCCATACCGGAAAAAGCGTCGAGCACCGGCTCAATCCCAACCTAATCAGCTTAATCATCGCTGCGCTTTCACGAGCCAAGCCTCAGTCGACCCGTGATTCGGCCCTTGTCATTGTGTCCCACAGCAAGTTCTTCTGCAATGGCTAAGACCTCGATTGGGTCAATGCCGCGGATAGGTCCAATCAAGAAGCTCAACAACGCTTCGACCGATTGCTTGACTCCCTCAAGCCCCTTATCCTATCCTTCATCTCCCTCCCCATTCCAACTGTCGCTGCCGTCAACGGAAACGCCGTTGCTGCCGGCGTGATGCTCGCTTTCTGTCACACTACGTTGACATGAGACGTGACAGAGGTGTGCTCTGTACATGAGCGAATTGGATAGAGAGATTAGGGTTCCTTTAATCTTCATGGCTTTTTTAGGGCCAAAACTTCGGTTCGACCATGCGCGATATGTTGTTGCTTGGGTTGAAGATAAAGGGCTAGGAGGCACTGAAAACGGGGATCGCGGAGGCCGTGCGCGACGGCGAGGAAGGAGTTACAAATGCTCGAACGAAAATGGCCGTTGAAATGAGAAAAGGGTTGTTTCCTGAACTTTGTGGCATGCTGGGAATGTCGTCCAATGTTATTGCAACTCCAAAACTTTGATTTATATAGTACTTTAGTTGTGTTTGATTAATGTTGTTAATTGTTAAATACAATAATCATGTTCGTATCAAACTATTTCAATTCAACTAATTTCAATAATAGGATAATTAGTTATTCACAACCCACGGATTTTAGTCCGACTTATCCTATATAGTTTTTTTTTTTTTTTGCTTTTCCTTTTTCTACTTTGAATTTGAATGGAACAAGTCGTTATGTTTTATGAAGATAAAATTGGATAAAGGGTTTCGTTCGGTATAATTATAAAAAATAATTTGAATGTTTAATTAAATAATCATTTAATTTATATATTTTAAAGTATTTTGATCCTCAATATTTTATTTTAGGATGAATAGATCTTTAATGTTTAATTAAATAATTAAATAGTCAATTCAACATTTATTTTTTCTTTTGAATATTTTAATCTTCAAATATTTTATTTTAAGATAAGAAGAACATTGATCATTAACTAATAATTTTGTTCATAAATATTTTTTTTATTTTCGGATAAAAATAAAATATTTGGGAGAACAAAATACTTTAAAAAAATAGAACAAAATGCTTTAAAAAAATTAGATAGTATGATCTTTAAAAGAAATTTAAATAAAAATTTGAGCTCAAATTGAGTTTTATAAAGAATAAATTAGATTCAATTAAAATTGGATTTAGAATAAAAAATTCTTGAAATCTCCGAAAGGAGAAACATGTCCCTTTCACCATAATGCACTAAAAAATATCATAAATAGTAGCTCTAATTTCAATAAAAAAAATTATGAATGTCTAATTTTAAATATTAAAAATCGAAAACTACACCATTATTTTGACCACTGCGTTTTGTACCTCTGGATCTCGTCTCGATTTCATACAGTAGCGGTTTCATTTGTTTTCTCGATTTCATTTTCGTTGAACTTTAAGGTTTTTGATCGAAAACGAAAATGGGATTTGTTTCTTTCGTCGGGAGAGTTCTTTTCGCTTTGGCGTTTCTCCTCTCTGCTTGGCAAGAGTAAGTTTCACTTCAGATCTTAATGGGGTCTGTTTATTTCTCGAGGAAAAAAGGAGAGGGTAGTTTAGATCTTAATTCAGATTTGGAACTCAGAGCTGTTTCGAAATGTTAAAAGAAGAATTAGTTTTTAATTTACGACGATTTAATGATATTTGTTTTTTTTAATGATTAATAATTGTTAGAGTTGTATGTTAATAGCTGTTGTTTATAGTAAAGTTGCTTGCTTTGTTGGAAAATTTAAAAAACTAGTGCAAATTAAGGTGTCAATTTGGGTAATTTCTTTATACATGTAAAAGTCTGAAATTGTATTGATGATGTTCATATTAAATTGCTCAGATGTTTATGCCTTATGGCAGTTATATATATATATATATGCTGATTCCCCTTTCTAACGTAGAAATATTAATGGTTAACTGTTGAAGAATTTTAAAGAGGCATTTGGCTCTAGTGGTTAGGCTATGATCCCTTGCTCAAAGATCAAGGCTCAAATCTCCTTACCCAAATCAAAGAGTGTTAGGAGTATGCTCCCTGGATTCTAATATAAAGAGAGGTCTTAGGGTGACAAAATCTTGAGGGACTTGGGATTCAAAGAGGACAATAACAATATTGAACTGGATCATGGTATCACGATGCTTGCGTGATGACGAATGGGGCCCCATCATATGGTGATCGGTCTTGACACCTTGCTCAACGCCGTGTTGTATCTCTAGGCGTTGTGCTAGACAACGTAGTTGCCTCAAGAAATTTTCCTTTTATTTTGAACATTTTTCTTTAATTTTACCTTTACCAGTAAGAAAGTGGATGATATAAAACTCTCATCTTCTTGATACTTGATTGTTCAACAACACGAACACTCATACATATATAAAAGAGCAGTAGATGATAGGAGATTTGAGATCTTTTTGAATGCAAAACTGTTTTCAAGCTTGAGCTTAGAATATAAATTCTGGAATTTTGCCGTTGGGCTAAGGTGTTTTTCAAAAAAAATGGTTATGACAGTGTGCCTTGCTTGTTTCTTTTCTTACTTTATGTGTTCATGTGTATAGGTTCAATGAATTAGGTGATGATGGGGGGCCAGCAGCTAAGGCATTGAAACCAAAATTCGATGTCTTCTCAAAGACTGTGTCAGCTCATACCGGGGTGCAAGTGCCAAAATTCGATGTAAGAATTGCTTTATTTCACGACTGAGATGAACTTATTTATGTTTCACGTTTTTCTAATTTCTTAACTCTTGGAGCTGTGATTTACAGATTAAGTATCTAGTTGCTGCTTCTATAGCCTTTAAAGGTGTCGGGGGCATCCTTTTTACATTGGGCACTAGTATCGGAGCTTATCTTCTGGTTTGTTTATGGACTTATGTATCAATTTTAGTTCGTAGTTCAATTATCAACTAAGTCCACTGATGTATTACACTACTGTACTCGTGTAGGTTCTGCAACAGCTCATAGTTACTCCTATATTGTACGACTTCTACAACTATGACACAGAACAGAAAGAATTCGGTATACATTTTACCAAATTCACACAGGTTCGTAGTTGATATATGTTTCATTTCTCCCTTCCAATTATACATTTCATGTCGCAATTCATTTCAAATTATATTTTTCTAACTAAATTCCCTTTCTCAGAACTTGGCGCTGTTAGGGGCATTATTCTTCTTTATTGGCATGAAGAACTCAATGCCCAAGAGACGACTCAAGAAAAAGGTTTCGAAAACAAAAACATATTGAAGAGGAACCTCTACGTTTTTGTTCGATCTCTGTCGACCTTGGTGAATCAACATATCTATTCATATATGCTTGCACAATGACTTTGTTCCTTCAAGATTAGGGGGAAGAAGAGCATATTATTACTTGGACAGCATGATATCGTTAACTACAAAGTTTAGTTCATTGTTATTTAGTTTTCAGAAAGGGTTTGATCATTTTGATTTTAAATATGCTGTATCTTTTGGTTTTACCCATGTTCTTGGAATCTTTCAATCCTGGATTCATAGTGCTTATTGATGTTGTGTATCAGAAAACATATCAACTTTGTGATCATTTCAAACCCCAGAATCTCCTGCTTACTCGGCGTACGATCGAACATTGAGGGTTTTTATCACATTTGATGTTCCGGTAAGATGTGAGAGAAGTTTCAGTCGATTTTGGTGCGTCGTGAAGCACTGTCGATATTTCCAAATGCACCCTTAGTGTGAATGATGTTCGTGGATTGAACCTCGAAGATGATTGGTACGATTGTCATTTTAACATCATTCATGTTTTATCTTCAACGATCTAAAAGAATAATACAAATGTGTTTGTTAACTTCAACTATGTGAAAGAATAATACAAATACTCTATGATATAAGAGTATGTCCAAAGCTAAATAAACAAAGTTATTCATGTGTATATAAATCTTCAACATGATTATCAATAAAAAAGAATATTCACAAACGTTTTCCTCGTTTAGACTTTTTCTTGTCACCATCACTCTTTTTGTTGTTATCTTTAGTTTCTCCTATTTATTCTAATTTTAGCGTTTGCCATTCAGACATTCACCAAGATTGTTTATACAAAGAGGTTACATTCAAATACCAGAGAATACTAATGGCGGTAGCAGGTGAAGTTTGAACCGGAATATGACGAAGCTAGTGAAATCAAAGCTTTTGACGAGACAAAAGCCGGTGTCAAAGGGCTTGTAGATGCTGGAATTTTGGGGGTTCCTCGTGTTGGTTTTTTTGCAAAATCCCACATTGGTTGTGTATAAGGAAGAGGGGAAATTCTTTTGTTATAAATAGAGTCCTCCTCCTCCTTAGTAGTTTAGCATCCCACAAATATAAGTCTTCTCTTATATTAAAGGCTATTTGTACTCTTTCTCTCTCTTTGTAATATTTCCCTCTATTAGTGAAATATTATTTTAGTAGTGTTCGATGACTTAAGCATAATTTTGGCCTAACCTCGTTAAATTTTTGTGTTCTCTTTTATGTCTACTTAATAGCTATTGTCGGGTATAGTTGTTAATTATTGTCCTATTAAAATTACTTGTCTTGGTAGTTCTATCTAAGGAAAGTGGGTTTTAAGAGGGATCATTGTGACCCCTCCTCTTTCCTGGGAATCTACCTTGGAGTGATTTTTAGTACAATTGTTTTCACGCTAGTCACTTAGATAATAGTTTTCAAGGTGAATTTGTTATTATTGGTAAAAATTAACCCAAATTCCACAATAATTGGTATCAACGCTCTTGGTTTATTTTAGTATGCTCTGTGGTTGCGGTTTAGGTTAATCTTCCACATCAGAAAAAATTTCCTTGGGATAATTGACATTCCGCATTGACAACTATTAAATAGAGTTTGTAGCAGAAATGGCAGACGACACAAAAACATCTACAAGAAATGTTGTGACAAATGTTAGATTTGCAGTGGAGATTTTTTTATGGCACCGGTCATTTCGGCATGTGGCAAAGTGAGGTTCTAGATGCCCTATTTCAGCAAGGTCTAGACATTGCTATTGAAGGAGAGAAACCATATGATGTTGAGGAGAAATAATGGAAGATGATCAATAGATTGGCATGTGATACTATTCGATCGTGTCTTTCTAGAGAGTAGAAGTATGCATTTTCTAAGGAAACTTCTGCAAGTAAATTGTGGAAGGCACTGGAGGAGAAATTTTTAAAGAAAATCGGTTAGAACAAGCTCTACATGAAAAAGAGATTGTTCCACTTCAACTATATACCAGGTACCACTATGAATGATCACATTACTAGCTTTAATCAGCTGGTGACTGATCTGATGAATATGGACGTGACTTTTAAAGACGAAGATCTGACTCTGATGTTGATGGGATCACTTCCTGATGAGTTTGAGTATCTTGTAAATACTCTACTTCATGTGAAGGTTGATGTGTCTCTCAGTGAAGTAACTGTTGCCTTGTATAGTTATGAATTGAGAAAGAAAGACAAACAAGAAAACACAAGTGTCGAAGCAGAAGCTCTTGTTATTAGAGGTCGTTCGAAGAGTCAAAATAAAGGAAGGAGAGGGCACTGAAAGAAATAATGTCCCAGGCTAAAGAATAAAGGCAAACCTGAAAGGGGAAAGGCTATCTCAGAATCAAATGTGGTCGAGTATGATGATGCAGATTCAGATTTTGCATTCGCTGCTACGTCATCAACCAGCTGTTCCAGTTCATGGTTGTTAGATTCAACTTGTAGCCACCATATTACCCCCAATAGAGAATAATTCTTTGATTTTAAAGAACTAAAAGGTGGAATTGTCTGCACAGCAAATAATTCCCCTCTTGACACACTTGGGATTAGTTTAATTCGCTTGAGGAATCATGATGGATCAATCAGAACCTTAACAGGTGTCCATTATGTACCAGATTTAATGAGAAATTTCATCTCTGTGGGAACCTTAGAGTCAAAAGGTTTAGAAGTGAGGGCAAAAGATGGATTATGAGGATTATCTTTGGTGCACTGGTGATAATGAAGGGAACCCGAAAAAGAAACAATGTGTATTACTTTCTGGGTAATACAATTGTTGGGACAGCAGCAGTGGTAACTTCTACTGATAAATAGGAGTCAGAAGCAACCAACTTATGGCATATACGCTTGGGGCATGTTGGTGAAAAATCCTTGAAATTGCTGATAGATCAAGGATTATTGAAGGGTGCTCGGGCTTGTAAATTAGTTTTTTGTGAGCATTGCATCAAAGGGAAGAAGACGAGGGTGAAATTTGGAACAACAATTCATGATACCAAAGGTATTTTAGATTATGTTCATTTAGATGTATGTTGGCCTTCCAAGACAACTTCATTGGGAGGAACACACTATTATGTCACATTTGTTGATGATTTTTCCCGGAGAGTTTGGGTGTATACAATGAAGAAAAATGATGAGGTGCTAGGATTTTTCCTTAAATGGAAAAAGAAGATGGAGACTCAAACAGACAGAAAAATCAAATGTCTCTGTACAGACAACGGTGGAGAGTACAAAAATGATCCATTTCTGAAAGTATGTGAAGAAGAAGGTATTGTCAAACATTACACTGTCAGATCTACACCACAACAGAATGGGGTGGCAGAGCGTATGAACCGGACATTAGTGGAGAAGGTTCGGTGTATGTTGTCTAATGCTGGGTTAGGCAAAGAATTTTGGGCTGAGGTTTTGGTCTATGCTTGTCACCTTGTCAACCGCTTACCATCGATTGTTATTGGTGGTAAAACACCATTAGAGAAATGGTTTGGAGAACCTGCTACAGATTATGATTCCTTACATGGGTTTGGTTCCACTGCATATTACCATGTTAAGGAGTCAAAGTTGGATCCAAGAGTAAAGAATGCGATCTTTATGGGGATCACCTCTGGTGTGAAAGACTATCGTCTTTGGTGTCCAGAAACAAAGAAAATAATCTTCAGTATGGATGTTACCTTTAATGAATCTACCATGTTGAGAAAGGTGACTTCAGAAAAATTGGAGCAGACAGATGGAACTCCCAAACAGGTGGATTTTGAAGGAAGCAGAATTGTCCCAGCCAGTAAAGAAACTGATGTTGACTCTCCTATGGTAGAAGAAGAGTCAGATGAAGAAGAGGTTCAGACCCAAGAACCTCCACAGCAACATGAATCAATTGCACTCAAAAGGGAAAGAGGATCATTAGACAACCTGCTCGTTATGCTGATATGGTCTCTTTTGCATCACAAATTGCAATTGATGACGTTCCTACCACTTTTAATGAAGCAGTACAAAGTTCAGAACATAAAAAGTGGAGGATCGCCATGAATGAAGAAATGCAATCCTTTCAAAAGAATCAGACGTGGAAACTAGCTAGTATTCCGAAGGGAAAGAAGGAAATTGGGTGCAAGTGGGTATATACAAAGAAAGATGGATTTCCTGACAAGAATAACATCTGCTACAAAGCAAGATTGTTGGCTAAAGGCTACGCTCAAACGGAGGGAGTTGATTATAATGAAGTATTTTCTCCAGTTGTAAAACATTCCTCCATCAGAATTTTGTTGGCTTTGGTAGCGTAGTTGAATTTGGATCTAGTTCAGATGGATGTAAAAACTGCATTTTTATATGGAGACTTGGATGAGGAAATCTACATGACTCAGCCAGATGGATTCAAAGTTTCTGAAAAAGAAAAGATGGTGTGCAAATTAGAAAAATCGTTATACGGTTTGAAGCAATCTCTAAGGCAGTTGTACAAGCTATTTGACAAGTTTATGATAGGGCATAAGTACACAAGAAGCAAATATGATCATTGTGTGTATTTACGCAAGCTATAAGACGGATCCTATATATATCTTCTTCTTTATGTTGATGATATGCTGATAGCTTCCAGGAATCAGACAGAAATTGCGAAACTAAAGACTCAATTGAACAGGGAGTTTGAGATAAAGGATCTTAGTGAAGCGAAGAAGATTCTACGCATGGAGATATCAAGGGATAAGAAATTGGGGAGGCTTTGTTTGTCTCAGAAAGAATATCTGAGGAAGGTTCTAAAACGTTTTGGCATGAATGAGAAGTCAAAACCAGTTAGTACATCTCTTTCTCCTCATTTCAAGCTAGGTGCATCCATGTCACCTAAGGATGATGCAGAACGGGAATACATCTCAAAGGTTCCGTATGCAAGTGTTGTTGGTAGCTTGATGTATGGAATGGTGTGTACGAGACCCGATATTTCACAGGCAGTTGGGGTTGTGAGCAGGTATATGCATGATCCTGGAAAGGAGCATTGGCAAGCTGTGAAATGGATTCTGCGGTATATTCTGAACACCGTAGTTGTTGGTTTGGTCTTTCAGCAGGACAAACAAGATGGTCAGTGTGTAGTTGGGTATTGTGATTTAGACTATGCAGGTGATTTGGACAAGCGTCGATCAACTAATGGTTATGTGTTTACATTTGCAAAGGCACTAGTCAGTTGGAAGATCACCTTACAGTCAACAGTGGCTTTGTCTACTACAGAGACAGAGTATATGGCAATTACAGAGGATGTGAATGAGGCAATTTGGCTTCAAGGGTTGCTTGGTGAATTGGGAATGGAACAGAAGCACATCAAAGTGCACTGTGACAGTCAGAGTGCTATTCATTTAGCAAAGAACCAGGTCTACCATGCAAGGACGAAGCACATCGATGTTCGATATCACTTTGTACGAGAGATTCTAGAAGAAGGTGGAGTCATAATCCAGAAGATTCGGACCACTGAGAATCCTACTGATATGTTGACAAAAGTAGTAACTGTGGTCAAGTTTAAACATTGTTTAGACTTGGTCAATATTGTTACAAATTTAAAGATGAATTTGCAGACACTACTGAAGATTGGATTTTTGAGAGATGTGTGTGGAATTTGCCAAGGTGGAGATTTGTTGGTTTTTTGGCAAAATCCCACATTGGTTGTGTATAAGGAAAAGGGGAAATTCTTTTGTTATAAATAAAACCCTCATCCTCCTTAGTTTAGCATCCCACAAATATAAGTCTTCTTCTATATTATAGGCTATTTGTACTCTTTCTCTCTCTTTGTAATATTTCCTCTATTAGTGAAATATTATTTTAGTAGTGTTCGAGGACTTAGGCATAATTTTGGCCTAACCTCATTAAATTTTGGTGTTCTCTTTTATGTATATTTAATAACTATTGTTGGGTATAGTTGTTGTTAATTATTTTCCTATTAAAATTACTTGTCTTGGTAGTTATGTCTAAGGAAAGTGAGTTTTAAGAGGGACCATTGTAACCCCTCCTCTTTCCTGAGAATCTACCTTGGAGTGATTTTTAGTACAATCGTTTTCACACTAATCACCTAGATAATAGTTTTCAGGTTGAATTTGTTATTATTGGTAGAAATTAACCCGAATTCCACAACACCTCGAATGTTTCATCAGTCACCGGATACCTTTGGGGAAACTTATGTTCCAATTGCTTCCCAGTATAGTATCCCTGTTATAGATCTTCAAGGAGTGAAGGAGGATCATATTATCCGGAAGTTGATAGTCGAAGAAGTCCGTACTGCATGAATGGGTTTTTTTTCAGATCATTAACCATGGAATACCTGCGAGTGTTCTTGAGAAGATGAAGGCTAGTGTACGTAGGTTTTTGAGCAAGATGTTGAGTTCAAAAAACAATTCTACACTCGTGATTTTACGAAAAAAATTATACATAATAGAAATTTCAATCTCCCCCCATCAGCTAACTGGAGAGACTCTATTTGTTGCAGCATGGCTCCTGATCCTCCTAACCCGGAAGAGTTGCCTGAACCATTCAGGTATACATACATATATATATATGTATGTATATATTAACCCTGAAGTGATTATGAACTTTTACCTGTATGACTTTGATATAGGGATATGATGGTTGAGTACTCGGACCACATCATCAGTTTGGGTCATTTGCTCATTGAGTTGATATCAGAAGTTATGGGGTTGAACCTTGATCATCTGCTAAAGATAGATTGTGCAAAGGGTCTCACTCAGCTCTGCCATTACGCTCCGGCATGTCCGCAGCCGGAATTGACTCTAGGGACAAGCAAACATGCTGATAATAGCTTCCTCACGGTGCTTCTACAAGACCATATTGGTGGTCTCCAAGTTCTTCATGAAAATCAATGGATTGATGTACCTCCGGTCCCTGGTAATCTGAAACTGACAAGTTTGATTGGACAAGACAACGACAGAGCCGTGTGGACCTTGGAAACGTCTCTGCCTTCTTCAGTTCTTTCTTCATCCTATTTGTAACAGAGAGACTTTTCTTTGATCTAAAACAGCCTTACTACACCAACAATTACAGAAAAGATCAACACGATGGGCTCAGAAACTGGCGAATTCCAAGCAGGTTCCGATCGCCAAAGCGAAGTAAAGGCTTTCGACGAAACAAAAGCCGGTGTTAAAGGATTAGTAGATTCAGGGATCACAAAAATCCCTCGTATGTTCATTGATCCAGACATCATCCTTGAAAAAACCACCCATTCTTCCAATTCCCAGCTCAGTGTCCCAACCATAGACCTCCAAGCCATCAATGAAGACTCAACTTGTCGTGCCGAGTTAATAAAGCAAGTGGAAAGTGCTTGTGCGGATTGGGGTTTCTTTCAGGTAGTCAACCATGGGATTCCAGCCAGTGTTTTGGATGAAATGATTGATGGGATCCGTGGGTTTCATGAACAAGACACTGAGATAAAGAAAGGGTTTTATACACGCGATACAACTCGCAAGGTGCTGTATCTAAGCAATTATGATTTGTTCAAATCCAAAGCTTCTAATTGGAGGGATAGCTTGGGTTGTATCATGGTTTGTGATGATCCTCCTCAACCTGCAGATTTACCTGAAGTTTGCAGGTACGCGGTTGTGGATTACGTTACTCTAATCAGGTGCGAGTGTCCGGACATATATATTCGATATAAGAAATTTTTTGTAAATTGCATTGCAGAGATATAGTGATGGATTACACCAAGCAAGTAATGACATTGTCGTTCACATTGCTTGAACTCCTGTCTGAGACTCTTGGGGTTAACCCTAGTTGCCTTAAAGACATGGGTTGCTCTGACCTTATGTTACTCATGGGGCATTATTATCCTCCATGTCCTGAACCAGAATTAACAATGGCAACCACCAATCACAAAGACAGTAACATCATCACCGTTCTTCTCCAAGATCAAATGGGTGGTCTGCAAGTTCTTCATCAGAATCAATGGGTTGATGTTCCCTGCAGACCCGGAGCTTTGGTTGTGAATGTCGGAGATCTTCTACAGGCAAGTTCATTCCCGTCAATCTTGAATATTGTACCATGACATGGTAATCATTGTATTCATGTTGTTTCCGTCTTATAATGTGCAGCTCATCTCGAACGACAAGTTCAAAAGTGTGAATCACAGGGTGTTAGCGAAACAAACAGGGCCGAGGATATCGGTGGCATGTTTCTTGAGGATGCTGGAAAATGGATCGAGACTTTACGGACCGATCAAGGACTTGTTATCTGAGAACAATCCCCCCCATCTACAGAGATATCTTGATCAAGGACTATTTGGCGGAATTCCACTCGAAAGGGCTCAATGGTATAGGTGGACTTCCAAATTTCAAGCTGTGAAAATCGTTCTACATAAGATTAGTGCAGCCAAGAAACTTGAGAGTTGCAGAAGAGATGATGGTTCTTACTTTTTGAATAAATTTTTATAGATTTGGTTACAAGTGTATGATGTTATATCTTCTAATTATGGTAGCACAATGTATAACACATAATTACATATTGAATTCGCTTTGATGTGGAATGATATGGCAAAATGTTTGAACAGATGGATTTATTGTTAATATGCAACTAAGATCTCCTATGAACTTAATTTGGTGACATTAAAACAGAGGAACCAAAAAGAAAAATCAAACACAAAGAACAATGGTGGAACCTAGACCGATTGCGGGTATGGCGGTTATGCAATAACGATTTTAAACGACACTGCTATCACTATATAACAGACATTATTATAGAGGAGAACTGCTATTTAAATCTTTGCTTTCAACTGATAGTACACTGCACATACATTATAACTCAAATTTAAACATGGTAACCAAACTCGCAATTTGACCAAAATATTTACCCACCGAACATTGAGTTTAGTTAAGGGGCCCAGTTAAGTAGTTAAACTGTTGAAATCTTGAAAACGGAAAGTGACAATGCTTTTGGCTGGTATTACCAATTGTCAACAAAGCTGTATAGTCGAGTTCCTTATTGTTAATGTCCTCCTTTTCTATTTGCCTTTTCTTTTGATTTCTGGGTTTCTGCAAATTCTCAACTTTGGGAATGTTTATCATCTAATCTCCATTTTCAGTTTCTGGGTCTTTCTTGTTTCTCTAGAAAAAGTATTTTTTAATCAACTATGTAGATTTAGTGCAATAATTTCTTCTAAAAAATGAGGGCATTTCCCGGAACTCCAGGGACATTGACAAGTCTATTTTTGAGGATTACACAGTGTGTTTTTGCATCTGGATCAATTGCTTCCATGGCTACAGATCCAAGCTTCTCCACCATCACTGCTTTCTGGTATTCATCCTGAATTTATTTAACCAGCATTTTTCTTTTTTCAAATTTGGTGTTAAATACAAGCAGAAATTTCTTTAGTTTTGCAAAATTTAGCCAGGCAGATGATCTGTCAATATTTTGTTTAGATGCTGAAATGATAGATTAAGATCTAGTTACTGAATGAATCTTTCTTTGAGGTTTCTAATAAAGCATTTCCAAAACATTTTTGTTTATATTATTTGTGAGGTACAAAGTATCTGCTTTTCTTGCTGTTTATGGCAACAGTGAGTTGAGTATATATTTTTCTATGTTTTGTATCATATTCCGTTGTTTAGCGGAATATGAAGAGTTGGGGTAACATAGATACGGGATATAAATGTCGGTAATCTTATGCAAATTCGTGTTTTTCATTTAGGATTTGTATTTGAGAAATGAAAGGGAAGATAGTAAGTAATTACTTAGTTTTATTCATTGTGGCAGATTCTAATGCTTATGCTTAAGTTGATAGATAAACAGAAACGATTGCTTTAGTATGAATGCATCTTCTTCACATATCCTCCGTATCTTCGAGGGAAGGTATTAGGATCAAATATACGAGGACCGGATCATGCTCTGTATCTTCATAGGTGTGATATTGGTACGATGCTTAGTTTATATAATCAGTGGCATTTCACCTTTTGCAGCATCGAATACAACTTCTGCAAGTTATGTTCGAGTTACTAATCACTGAGATCGAAGACATCGATCTTTGATGCATAGTTGAAGAACTTGCATATATCAGTAATCCATTCATATATAGTTGAAGAACTTGCATGTATCAGTAATCGCCGCGATCGAAGACTTCGATCTTTGATGCAAATGCCTAAAGCTAGGAAATATAAAGCTTTGTTTTTGAAGACAACCTTTGCTTGTGCAGCTACCTTATTGCTTCAATGGGATTGCAAGTTGTTTGGAGCTTTGCACTCGCTGTATTAGATGGAATCGCCTTGCTGAAAAAGAAGGTCCTCCATAATCCGGTTGTAATCAGTCTTTTCGTAGTCGGAGATTGGGTCAGCCTCTTTCAAAGCCTCGAACCCTCTCGATATTGTTATTCCGAACTGAAAACTCTCACATTTAAATGTTACACAGGTGACAGCTATGTTGTCTTTGGCTGCAGCTTCTTCCTCCGCAGGCATTGCCACATTGTACTTCAATGACTTAGGAAACTGCAGGTTCGAAGAAGAATGCCGAAAATATCAGTTGTCGGTTGCCTTGGCCTTCCTCGGCTGGGTATCGATTTCGATATCATCGCTAATCATGCCATGGCTATTTGTGGCCGGTTAAACCGGTTGTTGTACAGGCTGTCAGTATTCCTCCACCTTCCATCTTTGAAATTTTGAACGTCTTTATAGTGTACATAGAAAAGGAGGAAAAGAAGAGTGAATACATATAGTGAGTGATTACACTCAGCAGCATTGTTTTATTCCCTTATATAGGTATCATTTTTGCTTCAAGTTTGGTAAACAAAAAACATCCAATTTGTGAATCGAAACCGATGTTCCGGTCGGTTGGACGTTGAAAAACCGAGATAAAGAAACCGACGGTATAACCGCTTGAACCGGATTTTTTTTTCCTGGTGAGTTGGTTGCTCCATCATTCTCTTACCAACATGCTTACAATGCAAGGGGTGAGAGATGCATGTTTGTTTCAATTTCTTTTTTTTTCTGAATAAAGTTAGTTATCTAATTGCACTAAAAAAATTAGGTACCAAATTTACCATTAAAAGCAATTAAGTACCTAATTGTATTATTAAAAAGGTTAGATACCTAATTGTTTTTATAAAAATAAAAACCATTTTTCACATTGATACTAAAATTAGGTACCAAAAGTTACATTAACCTATCATTTTGCATAGCATGCAATTGGAATTCAAATAAACTTTGTACATATCTTAGTATCTCTCTATTCTCTTGAGTCGATTTTATTTTAATTTTTTCCATATTTTTTATCGTTGACAACGATATAAATCTTAAATGGGTCATTGATGGTTGATATTTTATTTTTTCTTTTTTATTAGGCTTATATAACAAATATATATTTAAAGTATATCATTTTTTATCTAAGTATTTATAGTATTTTTTTTTATCAAGATAAGTACATAATTTTTTTTATCAAAATAGACACGTGTAGTATTTCTTGGTCAAAATAGATATTTAAAGTATTCAATTTTTTCATCTAAGTGCCTGAAATATTCTTTAATTAGTACCTGTGTCAATTTTTTTAGAACGTAGATTAAAAAGATTGAATATTTTAGGTATCTATTTTGACCAATAAATACTTCACTTGCATATTTTGACCAAAAAGATAACTTTAGTACTTATTTTCTCCAAAAAATACTTTAAGCATTTAAATGAAAATTATAATATGCTTTAACTACTTATTTATAATACGAGTTCTGATGATTTTGTTATTTTTAATTAGCCTTCCCTTTTAGCATGAAAATTCTGATGATTTTGTCTACTTTTGTAGTAGGTCTTTTGTTTGTTTTTATAATACATTTATTTATCAGTGTTGAATTTAATATCGTTTTTCAAATTTAAATGATATTTATTTCATTATCTTGTTGACGGATTAATGTTCTAAAATCTTAGGTTAAATATTATCGAAGATAGGGCTGAGTAGTATAAAAGCAAATTTCGTGGATTATTATTGGTGTGTGATCTTTTGACGTCCAAACCGATGCGATTGCAAGCTGTAGAGAATTGCTGTTTCATAGATATATTCCACAACTTTAAATGATGTTGGCGTCCTTGGAGATGAAAATATGACACAAAACAAAACATGATGACAATCAAGCCAAAGTTGTCGTGTCAGAATATATGCAGCTGTACACTCACTATAGCTATGTATCAAAGCAAGGGGAACGAGTAGACAGACTTGTCCACTCGTGTTGGAATCATCAACCAGTTTGAATTTTCCAAATCTCAAGTTTTTGATTACTTAATGCGTGTTTTACTGAAATTAGTGATAATATGTCGCATACAATTCATAATTAGATAAAAATCGTTTATTCGACATCATCCGAACACTTGAAGATTTTGTATCATATTTCAAATATGTAGAAAAAAATTTTATATGTAATACTCATATTTGAATCCGAATAACATAATATTCATAAGCCAAGCATAATTGAATCAAAGAATCAATCATCACTTGATTGAAACATGAGGTAAATTGATAACAGAAGTGCACAGAAACCATTTCTTTTCTGGTTTCCAATTTCTCTAATTTCATCACCTCTTATAGTTATTCGGACCAAAGAATTCCATGGAGAATAAGACAATTATTTTTCTTTTCAGACATTTCTAATCAAGAACATGATACTGACAACAACATGCAACAGTAATTAGAGACTAAAACAACAATGCCACCACTTTTTCTGTGTACTTTTATACTCAGTTTGTGATCGAGTCTGAAACAGAGGAAAACAAAGAAAGTAAACTGGAAAAGGCGAAAGTATGACGGAAAAATCCGGCTCGTACTCCAACATTTACCAAAGGTTCAAGCCCCATATCCTTATGGTGCTTCGCCAGTTTTGGCTACACTTTCCTTTATATCTTCACTGAAGCCTGCTTTAATCATGGTATGAACCCTCACGTACACATCACGTATCGACACATCGTAGCCGGCATTGCCATGTTCCCTTTTGCCTATTTCCTCAAAAGGTCACTTTATGTTACGATTGTTATTTGATAAATGTAACGCTGCCGAAAACATATCTACTTTTCTATGGACTAATCTTTCATGGAACTGTTTGGAATATTCAAGTTTTATGCTGTTAGTTCTGTTCTTTGGTGCAGAAAAAAGAGGCCAAAGCTGACTTTTTCCCTTTTTCTAGAGATATTTGTTCTCTCCATCCTGGGGTACATACTTCTCCGGCTCTTTATGTTTCTTGAAGTATTTATATTTGACACTCGTGTACGATTAAGCTTCTGTTTGTTCGATTCGAACAGGGTGAGTTTGACCCTCAACATGTATTTCGTTAGCTTGAGATACACGTCACCAACTTTCCTTGCAGCCCTGGTGAACACCATAGCTTCTTTGACATTTATAATTGCAGTTCTATTCCGGTTAGCAATCGAACTTTGATCAATAAATTAGCAAAGCTTCAATGACTATAATCATCTGGGATTCGACTTTAATGCAGATTGGAGGTAGTTAATCTTCGAAATCCTCGAGAATTTGCCAAAGTTGTCGGAACCTTTGTCTCGTTGGTTGGTGTAACAACAATGACATTGTACAAAGGTCCTGCAATAAAGTCCCTGGGGCCAACTCTAATCCATATTCAAGGCAAATCCCCCATTCATGAGAATTGGTTAAAGGGTTCAATTCTTATTGTTTGCAGCTGCTTAACTTGGTCTATATTGTACATCATGCAGGTAAAAGAAAACGTATCCATTCAAATAGACTAAATTGCAGATCCGAGATGGATAAAATATGCTTACGATGTTAGATATTTTGTAGGCGTTTACACTGAAAATATATCCGGCACCGCTGTCATTAACGACATGGATGAGCTTGTCAGAGCAGCACAATCGGCAGTTTTCAGTCATTGTGAATCATGAACCGGCTGCATGGAAAATGGGATTCGATTTCTGATTTCTGGGCTACTATATATATGCTGTAAGCAGGGTATTATTCGACAGTTTTCGGGGTTTTTTGTTCATAACATCAATTCATACATGACAGGGAGTGGTTTGCTCTGGTTTGATAATCTACATGCAACTGTGGAGCACCGAAGAGAAAGGGCCGGTGTTTGTGACCATGTTCAATCCCCTTTCGACACTGCTCGTGGCACTTCTAGGGTACTTCGTCCTCGACAAAAAGCTTCATATCGGCAGGTAATTTTGTCTGCAACATTCCGGTTACTTTCGAGTAGAAGCGGAGACTTAAATTTTCACTCGTTGATCAGCATTGTAGGGGGAGCAATTGTGATTGTTGGCCTGTATTTGGTGCTGTGGGGAAAAGATCGTGACCTGTAAGCTCAAGTCGGACCAGAAGAGCTGCCGTACCCGGCTTACGACCACAAAAACGATGCAAAAGCGAATAAAATCCTTACAGGGACTCAACCAGAACCTTGAAGAAAACTCTTATGGCATGAAGACCAGCATATATAATTTGATTACAAAAAAATTCCCAGAAATTATTAAAAAAAGAGGAGAATATGAGGACCTTAGTTTAAAATAAATATCTGCAAATTAATGTTGTAAATTCTAGCCTGCTTCATACAAGCTGGCCCCTTCAACCATGATATTCCATGTCACTCCCTTATGACTGCACATTTTGTACTCATTTTTTCATATCTTCCGAGAGAATGTTTGCACATTAACATACAACAACAACAAAACCCTATTCTCATATGTAATGGGATAAGGGGAGGTAGAGTAGTAGGCATGCCCCCAACGCCAGGTTGAGAGTAACTTCCGTAGAAGACATTCGGCAGTTAGAAAATTAAAAATAAGGATAAAATGCTATGCATGTATAAATAAATAAATGAATAAATAAATACATAGTTAAACAGTCTTCATATGCAGTCTTCATATGCACGTCTTTAATGGGAAGTAATCCCTGCAAATAAATACCTGCGTAAAAATCTCTGCATATAGACAGAAACGTAAGATCCGACTAAATTTAAAAAGAGGAAACAAGAAGAGAAAGATACACAGAAGTCAACGATAGCCAGCTACGAGAAGGAATAAAATCAAAATGAGTTAAAACCTAAACTAAGGCATACTACTATGCTATCCTAGTTCTAAGTCTTCATAAATTTCAATGACATAAACGTGTAAGAAGTAGAAGTCATGAAAATTACTACAAAGGCATTAAAAGAAGACGGAAATGATACACCCTATGGATGTGACCCGCACTACTCGGCTACCCTGGTCTTAAGTCTCCATACTTTCCTATCAGAGGTCATGTCCTCGGTAAGGGCTAAATCCTTCAAATCAGATCTCAAGCAGTATTCTCACTTCCGTCTTGGTCGTCCTCTCCTTCTGGGATCGTCGACTGTAATCGACTCTACCCTCCTGACCGCTTCCGAATGTTGTCTCCTAAGGACATGCCCAAATCACCGTAGTCTTCCCTCTCTCAATTTTTCAGATACAAGCACCACCCCCAAGGACATCCTAATAGCAGAGTTTGTTGTCATGTCCCACAGAGTCCTACCACATGCCCATCGGAACATTCTCATTTCTGCTGCCTCCATCCTCCTTACGTGATCCTTCTTGATTGCCCAACATTCTGATCCATACAGCAGCGCTGGTCTTATTGACATTATATAAAATTTTCCCTTAAGTTTTAGAAGCACCTTTTTGCCACACAAAA